GAAACTATCGATCCTGGAGTTGTACCACCACTCTTGACCAATCTTGCCCTTAAGGCACTACTCGAACGCCGTCAACCTCATCTGGACGTCCATACCATGCGTGAACTTCTCGAAGAAACGCCAAAACGCCGCCGCCCTTTCACTCGTGGCGGTGTCGGAGTAGAAAGGAACGATCACCTTTACGGCGTTCCTCAACACAGTTGGGGTGCCTACTATCGGCTCGTTCCGTCTTGTTTGCGTTCCAATTCCTCGTGCCCCATAATCACCACCATGGTCGAGCGTCCGACTCACCTTGAGGGTACGCCGAATGCGTCGGGTAGCCTCCTCCGTGACCACTGAAACTCCTGCCAAGCCCAAGGCCTCCCATGCTCGCAGGCGTCTGAGTCGCGGGAGCTGCCGACCACGCTGACAGCGTTCCGCCAGAGCTCCATCCAGCCGTGGGCGTTTTAGGAGGTTGGAACGGCGGATAAAGAGCACCCAGGCGTGCCGCACCGTCCCCTCCATCGTTCCTGCTGGTGCTCGGCGCCAGTATTGTCACGCCACCGTATGACGGGATCGCCGCCATCGGCATTCCCACAGGCGTCGAAGCTGGCGCCGAAAGCGCCACTATGGGAGCCATCGAACCTTGGTTGGAACGGCGGATAAAGAGCACCCAGGCGTGCCGCACCGTCCCCTCCATCGTTCCTGCTGGTACCCGGCACCAGAATGGTCACGCCACCGTATGACGGGATCGCCGCCATCGGCATTCCCACAGGCGTCGAAGCTGGCGCCGAAAGCGCCACTATGGGAGCCATCGAACCTTGGTACCCGAGCATCGGCGTACTAGCCGGTCGAGTCTGATCGACGAAGGCGTTCCGTGTGGACGCCGGCACGGGGCGCGACACAGGCCTCGCCCTTGCAGGTCGTGGCGTACTTGTCGGCGTTCCAGCTGAGGCGGACAGCCTCTGGAGTGCTCGACTAAACGTGTCGACCAACATCTCTTGTAACGCGGAGTCTGACGTCGGCGTTCCGGCCCTCCTTGTCGGCGTCTCCGCCGCCCGCACAGGCGTTCCTCGTTGCCACCTGGGCGTGCCACTCTCCGAAAACGGTGTTCTAGACACACCATGGCGTTCCACCACCCGCGGAGAAGTGTGCCTTGTTGTTCCTCTCGCGTCGAACGCCGCACCGGCTGGCATTACTGTCGGTACCTCGCCTTGCGTCTCGCTCACAAGAGGTAGCGACGGCCTCGACGCATCGAAGGAGAACGCGTCTCTTTGCCGAGCTCTCGGGGTCGACGTCACGGCTTCCGCCGTCTCACCCGCCGTCGTCCTCACCGGAGCCGGTTCTTCGCTCGGCGCTGGCTGGCGTGCCAGCCGCGCGAGGAACTGGTTAAACATCTCTCGGCCCCGGGGCGTGTCCAACACCGACTCATTCATCCTTCTCGCTCTTGGAGACAGAGCTTCAGACCCGATCGTCCCCTCTCCGTCCCTTCGAGCCTCGCGAGCCTCGACTCTGGGTTTGATCTTCCTCGGCGTTCCTCGTTCCGAACCCTCGTTCGAACCGCCCCTGGTCGCAGGTCCTCCACGCGCATCACCCTCGACGGACCCTCCTGCATGCTCTTCGTCTTCGTCTTCGCGGATATCAGCTGGAGGTGGCGTCTCCGTCTCAAGCGGGGGAGCCCACCCACTGAGTTCCGCACCCGCTTCCTCTCCTAGTCCCTCGCCGTAAGGATCGACAGCCATAACGACGCCAGTAAGTAGCCACCCACTACCAAATCACCGATCCCGCCGACCGCTGTCACTGCCGCTTCACCTGTAGCTCGCACACACTTATAGGACGACGCCCATAGTAGCCAAATCGCATACGCTTCGCACCATTTCAAACGTAAGTGTCCAGTAATTCCAAACCGTGCCTCGTAGTCCCGCAGCGCCGCGACTGGGATTAGGGACACCTTCAAAGCTTCCAGCCAAGGTACACGTTCCAGTCCCGCCCCAAACTTGGTGTATTCCAATCCGAACACGCCAACAGGAGACGGGTTAGCTAGTTGATCTCCTCCTTGTAGTTCGCCAGGGATCGCGGCCTCAAGGGGGCTCCCCGACTGGAACTGCAACGTCGGTGGCGTTCCAGGCAGCCGTCCCGCCTGGGTCTGGCGTTCCCTTCCGCCCTAGCGTCTCCTCTACT